GCCACGCTTCACGCCTACCTCCTTAGGGCCCGTAGGGGACTCGCGCCTGTCACTCGTGTGCAGGTCAGGGGCCTCCCGCACGTCGTCGTGCACCCCTGGGTGCCCGCCAAGGGGGCCTACCGGGGTCCACCGCGAGCACGCCGTGGACCGGCACACGATTGGTAGGAGCCTAGCCGTCGCCGGCACCGACGCTGGAGTTAGGGAGGAGCAGGCGCGGCCTCCGAGGCAAGGGCGAGCGTGGCTACCATGGCACAGGCCGCCGCGACCGCCGTGGCGTGGGCAGCCATGGCCGTTGTGGCTCCGAGCGAGGCGGGGATGGGGGCCAGGGCTCGGCTCTATTCGGGGCAAGGAGGGGCGGCACGCGGCCGAGGCCGCTAGGGCTCGGCTCGTGGCGGCAGCGGGTTAGGGCGCGGGCGGTGTGGGGAAGAAAGTGAAGGAAAAAAAGGAAAAGAGAAAGAGGTAGGGGTATTAAGGACATTTCACCTCTCTTCTCTCTCCTCAAAACTCAAAAATAAATATTTTATTGGGTGCGGTGTCCACAGCAAATTTGACGAGAAGCAGAGTGTCTATCAGCAAACTGTTCCATTTTTCATGTCCAGCAGTAAATGGAGGTCACTTTCAGTGTCCCGTAGCCAATTTTCCTATTTTATTATGACATGGAGAGAAAAAGGAGAGGAAAATTGGGAACGAAAATGAACACAGGGGTAACTGATACGAATGCTGAAATAATGCCGGTGATGGCGTCGAATTTTTTTAACATTTTTTTAAACTAATTTTGAATCTAACACGGTTTTATTTTTTTCAAAACTAACACTTTTGCCCGCGCCTATTTTCCTGGCGCGGCGCCATGCATGGTGGCGTGGCGAGAGGGATGATGTGGCGACGACCGGGGTGCTGACCGGTGACATGGCAGGGTCTGTCGCGCCACCGATCTTGGCGCGGCACTGACGAAACCTTATAGGTGGCGCGGCAGAGCCGGCTAAAGGCCCGCGGCCCAGTCCCGCCGCACCACGCCTGCCCACCCGCCTGCCCGCACGCACCCGCCGCACGTGCCCGCCGCCGCGCCTGCGCCGCGCCCACTGCTCACAAGAGCATTATCGTTGCCTAGCGCATGATCGTCCGTGCAGCCCACACGGCGCACTCGATAGATGTACCACACGGCGCAGTCAACTAATCAAGGGATGGATAGACTATAGATTATATTGTTCAGCACTCAATAGAGTAAGCTTTAGCACTTTGTTCCCTTATCTAACAAAACAAAGTAAGCTGTACCCTTGCCAAGCATAATAGCTTTAATATCATTACTACAAAAGTTGGCACCAACGGCTGACACACATGACCATAAGCGACTCTTATCAAACCCAAAAGCACAAGTCGAAAACAGCAGCAGAAATCACTTCCCAAATCTCACTCTTTGCGAATGATACACACATTCATCCTGTACTTCTTGGTCTTAAGTGGCTCAAAGAGGCAGATATCTCCCAGCTACAAATTGTTATCACGTGCAAACCGTGCCCACCCTTTGGAAAGCATTTTTACTTTGCGTTGAGCTTTTGGAACCTGAATGTGGCAAATCACTTCCCAACTCTTGCCATGACACTGAAGAATCAACACTCTGCTCTTCAATGGAAGACATACTTCAGAGTATTTTCTGGACAATTCCTGGTCATATGATGAAACACTAAATTAATTCCTGTTGCAAAACAGCTAGCAGCTAAAGAGTCAAAGAGTTGGTATAACTTGATTAATTCAATTTCATTACTTGAATCTTTTTTATATTAATGCTGCCAATATCTTGTAAAATCAGTAAATATATATTTTCTTCCTATCCCATGGTGCAGAAAGATTGCTCTAAAATAAAATTGCCAAAATAGTCTTGTAAGTGATGCTATTCCATTCATGGCTACCAACATAGATCTTTACATTGATCAGTAATCTTGCCATGGTCATCTGTGTGACCATTCTGGTGGTAATTCGCATCCCTCTCCTTACATCCCTTGGAAGGTTTTCTCATCTTGATACCGTACCTGCATAAAAAAACTTTGCTTTTTACCGTTTCTTTGTGCTATGACGTGTCCAATTTCTTCCAATCCTCCCCCTTTTAATAATTCGACATTCTATTCTTTAAGAAACTTAAATGCATTATAGAGGAAAAAACAAACTACAAGAACGATTATCTCACACACACACACACAGAGAGAGAGAGAGAGATTAGAAAAAAAATGGAACTAACAAGGGGACAGCTAGGTTAAGGAAGAAACAAAAGCACGAAACTCTAATGATGTATAGGTTAAAGGAATTTCCTAGACTATCTAAATAAAAGAAATCGATAGAAATCACCAGAGGACAAGGAGAGCTTACAGTGATTTGCGCAGAAACGTTTTCTACAGGAGAGGAGAAGAACAGGATGACCTTCCGCCCATTCCTCTTCGGAGACAGAGACGAAGAATGTGAGAGCTTTTATTGGATATATATGACCTATATAGATGGAATATGTCATTAACTGCTATTTCTCAATTCTCTGGTGAAGCCACGCCATCACTAATATTTCAGCCATCCGATCTTAAGTAACTGTGTTGATCCTGGCCATCCGTCCTCTCAATCCCACTAACGCTTTGTTTAATTGCTTTTGCCGTACCATATAAAACTTGCTCTCATTAAACATGCAAGGTTTGTGTTTCATCTCCCAATAATCAGTGTATTTGAATGCACGCTTTTTATCATATATATACTTATGTCCTTTTTCATTCCACTACATAATACTATATATGCATCCGACGCTGATAGATCCAACAATTGGTTTTTAAGTTAGCTCTAAACATTTTTCTCATATTTTAATAGAAGAGAGATAAAAGCTAGCTCTTAATCAAGAGCTAAGCTCTTGCACATATTTTAAGGTTATGTGAGAGTGTCATATGGGTATATCCATGCTAAAAGCTATATGCTAAAAGTTAACACTATTAGAGATGCTAGCTTAAAACTAATAGCTAGCTCTGATCATTACGGGTGCCCTCATGTCCTTTTCCATTCCACTACATATGCATGCGTACATGCAACATGCAATGCCTTTAATTTGTTAACTAATTTTCATCATCACCTTCCTATACAGCCTCCATTCCTCCACTCACGTAGGGCATGGTGTCTTTTAGTTTCTACTATAATATCCCATTCAGGTTCTCTCTATGTATAAACTAGAAGACTACCTTCGCGCGTTGCTGCGGAATTTTTTTAAATTAAATATATTACATACGTAGCATTACTATATAGTATTTTGTATACCGTGTATATATATGAATTTAATTTGTATGTTATTTTATTGTATCATATTTGGTAAAAAATCGATAAACTAATAGAAAAAACAAATAGAATATTTGATTAATTATAAAGAAATATGTGATGAAAAAAGTATTGCATGTGATAGAGATGACGTCGACATTTTTTGTAATTAATAAAGAATGATATGGGCACAAGCCTTATTAATGTTGCGTCCAGGTCCTGCCGCGCCGTGGGCCTTAGCGCGTTAGTGCTGCGCAAAGATCGGTGGCGCGGCAGATCCGGACACGTCACCGGTCAGCGCCTCGGTTGTTGCTACATCATCCCTCTCGTCGCACCACCATGCATGGCGCGGCACAGGCGTTTCGCCGCGCCAGGAAAATAGGCGCGGACAAAAATATTAGTTTTGAAAAAAAAACAGTGTTAGATTTAAAATTAGTTTAAAAAATGTTAAAAATAAAAAAATCATAGAATAACTTATTCTATAGCCATCTTGATTTACGATAATATTTGTATCAATTTACGATAACATGAATATGCATTTACGATACTCGTGTTATTACAACTCACGGTGATATTTACCATAATGTTATGGTAAATCACTTAGTAAGGAGTTAATGTAGTCTCATAAATTAGAATAGTAATTATCGTAACTCAAAGTATCCACAGAATAAGTTATTCTATGGCCAGCTGCAGAACAATAGTTCTATATATATATATACACACACGGTAAGGCTATTCTGTAGCTGGTCACAAAATAACTTATTCTATAGTCGCCTTGATTTACGATAATGTTTAAAATAATAACAATACACATTTACGATACATGTGTTACTATAATTCAAGATGATACTTATCATAATGCTATAGTAAATCATTTATGAATGAGCAATTATCGTAACTCAAAATAACCATTGAATAACTTATTCGACGGCCAGCTACAGAATAGTTAGCTGGCCGCAGAATAAGTTATTATGTGGCCACTTTGAGTTACGATAATTACTATACTAATTTACGACATTATGGTAACTTTCTCATAAGTGATTTACTATAACATTATGGTAAGTATCATCTTGAATTATAGTAACCCGTGTATCGTAAATGTGTATTGTCATTATCGTAAATTGGTATAAACATTATCATAAATCAAGATGGCTATAGAATAAATTATTATGTGGCCAGTTGCAAAATAGTCTTACTATAACATTATGGTAAGTAACATTACAGCACCTTCAGAGAAGGTGAAAGAAGGAAACCAAGACCAGTTCGGACAGGTGTACTAGACACGTGTTCATCTAATCCTACACGTGTCACCACGAAGGAGAAAGCAAAACACGCGTCGCAGCATAGATCTGAGGAGACGTCGCCGCCGCGGCCGCCGTGAAGCAGGTCACCGTAGATCGGCGTGCAATACGCCGGGATGGAAGGGCTTCGCTTATAGCGTAGGTTAAGGAGGGCCCATGAACCTTCCATGGTGGACATCTCCGACGAGGAATGATCTGGATGGAGCTTGAGGCCAGAGTGTAGAAAATAGGCTCGATGGAGACCCGTGGTGGCCGGTGACGAGCTGCAAAGGTGACGACGACGAACAACTCGACGATGATGCAGGTCTTGAAAAGCTTGACAGAGCATAGCTGCAGGACGACGGACGGCGACGTAGAACCGCGGCAGGGCGAAAAGCCAAAGTCGAGCACCACCGCGGCAGAGCAGCACAGGGCAGACCGCCGATGAGACTTCCTCCCTTCACCTCGGAGCACACCCCCGGCAAGAGGGCCACGGCCAGATCTGAAATTGGGGCAAGCGAAGCTGGCCGGATTATTTTATTCCGTACCTGGGGCTTGCCGTTACCGTGTGAGCTGCAAATTCGGCGACAGGAGCACCATCGGAGGTGATGATGCCGGCCACCAAAATCCAAGCGACGGCAGCGGCAACCTCGGTACGGCTTCGGGTAGGAAGCATCCGGAAAACACTCGATGCAAATATAACCTAGGAGAAACCAGTATGCACACAGGAAACTGGAAACTGGGGCCGGCCCACCTCCCTCGAGCTGCCGGCGGAAGCCGGAGGCGAAGAGGAAGGGGGCTGGAGGGGACGAGCTAGAAGGGGATCAGAGGAGGAGAAAAACCGGCATACGCCTACTACTCAGTACGGAGACTCTATGGTTTTGCTCACATAGCATGACAAGTTGACACGGTAACACGTACTGTATGACATATGACACATAAACACAAATATTATTGTATAACAGATGGCACATGGCACACCCAAAGTTGCAAACAAAAATAACAAATTAAACTGACACCCAAACATTAGTGATACAACAGGTGACTAGGGCCTCCTCATGTTTTGTGACCCACCTAAAAACAGGGTCCCATAAAATGGACAGGACCCATCTCCTCTTCGATAGACTTTTGTCCCGGCTGGTTCCAGGTAAAAAAAAACTCGGATTGCGAGGATAGCATGCGCCCGCATACAGGAGCATGTTACTCTGTGAGTAGACCGGTGCCGAGTGCTTGACCAACCGGTCTAGCATCCGTTGGCATCTTTTTTCTAGGTAAGAAATATGAAAATAACCCAAGCCAATGCTGAGATAGAACATGAAACAATTTGATTTATCTAGTCGTTTTAACTCTCCGCCCCCGCATGGCTCATTTGTTAATATTCTATCACTCCCTTGGGTTACAAATATTTAAAGCTTTGACCAAAATTCAGTTAGTTTTTCAAATTTCAACCATTAGTAGTTTTCAAATATTTACATTAGAAACATAGATATCATGTACATCTGTCTTGAAAAGTATTTTCCTATAGCAATATTCTGACAAGAAAATATAGTAGTCAAAATTAAAACCCTGAGTCACAAAAACTTCAATTGTGGCAATTAATTATTACGATGGAAGGTAATAATATTCATATAGAAAAAATATATACATTTAGACGTAGATTTAGAAGTTACTTAGGCGGTTTTTAATAATATCATATGGGATAATTTTATATGCAATTTTAGGGGCTATTATATTATTTTCATGATAACAAAGGTGTGCTTTTTTGTTAAGATTTAGGTGGTTAGTTATTTTAAATAATGGTAGAGATAGATAGTTTAGATATGGATTTAAGGATTACTTTATACTACTTTTTATAATAGTAAATGTGGATGTTTTGATGAAGATTTAACTCTAAAGAGTGCCTTATATATGATATTTATCAGGAGAAACAAAATAGCCAATACAAAAGAGAGATATCATGGCATAAAACAACCTTTGAAAATAAGAGTACATCAAAAACCAATATGATCATCTTCTTCCTTAGATTGTTTGCCATCTGTACCGGAGCTTGGAAACAACATTGAAAAGACAGCAAGGAAAAGAGTCACCTACAAACACCCAAACCATAAAAGGTTTTAAAGAATGCAAAATCCATTAGCCGCTAGTGACGAAATTTAGTATCCACGGAAAGAACATTGACTGAGGAAGCCCCAAAGAACACAAGATTACAAGCCTTCAACACCAAAACAGAGTACTCCGTATTAGAGAAACCAACCTTACCGCACAACGGACTATATATCAAAAGCCAGCCAACTACTTTCCTTAATAAACACTAACTATCAAGATCCTAAAAGAACCAACGTATCTGCATAACATACCTTCATTGGTATTTGGCGAGTGATAGATAAGTCGTTGAGGTAGGAAGAGGTTAGAGGGACCTTCCTTACTCTAATGCACCATCATGGCCACTATCGCGTTGATGTTGTAAGGAAACCAAACCTTTGTCGTAATTCATGTTTGTATTCATAAAGACAGAGATGGGCAATTTAGATACAGATTTACAATTACTTGAGACTATTTTTTCATAATGTTGGAGTAGTGTTTGGACAAGACAAAATAGATGCAATGACCATAGTTGCCAATGATAACTAGAGTCCCTCAATTTGGTAAAAAAAATGATTAGAGTCTACCGAATTGATAGCAAGATGTTTATGTTTTTCACGAGAATTTGTATGATTTACCAATTTTTCTAGTGTGCTTGTATGAATTGACGTGAATGCTTTACACAAGTTTCCAACCTGTAATAGCAAGATTTAAATGGCTCTGTGTTTTATTTTATTTTTTCTCGAAAACTAAGTTGCAGGAGGGTACGGTAAAATGGCAGAAAAGCGGGTTGCTGGACAACAGATTTTGCTTTATTCCAACTTCTCAGCAAGGCAGCAACTGTAATTTGGGTAAGGAAAGCATCAAGCATGGCCAAATAGAACTCCACGAAAGCGGACCGCGAGCAGCAAAGCCCAAAAAACAGCAATTCCCCATTAGGCACCAGCGCCCCACACGGCCTTCTTCTTTCTCGGCGATACGGTCTACAACGAGCCGAGCCCATGTAATGTTCCGTCCCGTTCCGTCGAACCGCAGACAACGAAATCTTGGGACGGAATCCCCCAATCCCGGCGTCATCGCGTTCGCTAACTACTAATCGTTCTTCTTCCTTGACGGACATCCTTTCCTTCCTCGGATTGGTTTCGTGCTTTCCTCAACCTCCCCTCTTCCGTGGCGCGCAGTTTGTCCGCTGCTTCACGGAAATTCCTACGGGACTGTATATATCCGCTGCGCAGGCGGGGCGGCCCCGCCCCCGGCCATTGTTGTCTCTGCTCACCCGCCGCATCCCAATCCCAGGAACTTTCGTCGCGTCAGGTGCGTGATTTCTCCACCGCTCTAGGTTGGTCCGATTTTTTTCGGAAATTCCCTGTGAAATTTCTGGTTTGTTGTGACTTATGACCAAGGGAGACGTCTTGTAGTGTAGTTTCTTGGAATTCTGTTTGGCCGGCTGCTTAGGAGGATTGGAGTGTGAATCAAGGACGGGGAACTATAAAATTGCATGCGTTTGGGTAGGATGAAGCATAGAACCGAACCGTAGGATCCTGATTTCAGGAGCCCAGCCGCCTTCACAATCGGGTTTCCTTTGTCTTTCAGCACATAGGGTTTAGACTTTAGACCACAAAATGGGTGAAATTAGCATGCCTGAATTGGAGTTTACAACTAGGGCAGAAAATTGAGGCCAGTATCTTCCAGAGCTGCCTCGTGATTCTGATCTGAATTTGGGTAAGGTACCTCAATTTGGAGGTGCAAATAAGTTAGCCGATTTGCGCCTCAATGACATCACAGTAGCCAACTTTGATATCAGCATTAGGACGGAGAATCCTATGCGATCCCCTCCGAAGTTGCCTTCCGACGAGAAGGCAGTGGTGTTGCACAAGTTAGCTCTCCCCTGGCTAGGACCACTAGATAAGATGTTTGTAGAGACGTCACCAAGGAAGCAGTGCAGATTAAGGAGGTGAAGAAGAGTAAGGAGGCAATCGCCTGAGAACCCGCTGCAGCTCAATATCAATTTTTTGGTGCTGGCGACGGGCTATTCACTAGGCATAATTGGGCTGAAGACCGTTGGAGATTGTAATAATAGGAAAAGGGTTTGGGTGAAGGATTTTGGTTTTGCAGGAAAAGGGCGCAAGGCACACCGAAGGGCTAGTAGGGACAGGAGACATGCTTCCTTTGCTGAATCTTACTTGATAGCATCTGATGCAGGTGATGCTTTCAGTAACCACCGGCATAGAACAATGTCGATGAACTATGATGGGGATAGAAGTGAGGACCGGCAAAGTGAGGAGGTTCAGTCAGCATACAAAAGGGACAGTGACATTGGTGAGGAAATGATAATAAGTAGCGAAGAGCAAAATGATGAAAATGAATGGAGCTGGGTGAACCAACCTAGAAATGGTGATCCTCTTGCTGAATCGGTTTCTTCACTTCATACAACACAGCAAGTCCTTGAAAATGGTAAAAATCTTATCTTTATTCATGTTTCTCATGCACTTTTAAAAAAATAAATAATGCGTGTCTGCCTTCTTACACTATGTAATTTTCAACCATCCTAGAAATGTGTCATGGCTTGTTTAATACTTTTGCTTAAGAAACACAGTACGGGCACAATATTTTTATGGTACTTTCAAAGTTGGAATTTCATGGATTTCCAGCTTTTCTGGCTGAAGTAAATTTTCCACACAACACTTTCTTTATAAATCTGTTGCTTACTTGCTTTTTTCAAACATGTCAGTGCTGACTTTGATCATGCACCATGTATTTATTTACTAAATAGGTAGTTTCTCCAGTATATGTGATGATAGTTTGCTCACACCTCCCCCTTAATAATGTACGAGTAATTATGTGTTCAGTGATGCATTATGCAGCACTTATCAAAATACACATAAGGTCATGGTTATGGCTTTGTGCCTCCATTTACTATTTTTCTTTCAATCCATAGACCCAGACAACGATCATTTCTCATAGTACAAAGCATGCTTTCCACATCAGTGACAAATTTGCTCTCACATCATTTTGGAAAGAAAAATAATGATTTGTTTCTTCACAATATAGTACAAGGGACAAGTGTGCACTTCTGGAGTATTTTGACACTTTTGCCTAGCTCTAGTTCTAATGGATCACCTAACTCTAGTGGTTCTTGGTATAACAAAGCTGTGCCATCCCAGTTTTTCCATAGATACCACTTGATTACCGTGATTTTAAAAAATTGTTTAGTCTTTGAGCTCTAGTTTATGTTTGTATTAACCACCTCTATTTTTTTGTGTGCTGCTTAGAGATACAAAAATTATCAGAACTTGGCAAAGAACTTGAGGCGGAGGAATCCACTTCTGGTAACAAAGACCAAGATGTAATTGTTTTGCCATATGCAGAGGCCGATATGTTGGAACTGAATGAGAAGATGGAACATCTTGAACAGAAAGTGAAAGAAGCATCAAACACCATCAGAGAGAAAGACTTGAGGCTTTCCAAGCTTCAAGTACTCATCGGTGCTGCAGACAGGGCAACGCTGGAGGAGGAGGAGGCAGCAGCTAGCATCGACCAGTTGGAGACAGAGCTCGAGCACCATCTCCAGGAGAAACTAGAAGCCGAAATCCAGTGTCTGGTGATGCTGAAAGCGAGGCAGAACTGGCAGGTCCGGGCAGAGGACCGGATGGCCTTGGAGGAGCATAGGGCGCTGTCTGCCGGGGACAAGACCAGAATGTTGCTCAAGCTACGGGAGACGGAGAGCAAGATCGTGATGCTGAAAGAGCAGGTGGACAAGCTGGAGGTCCGGGAGAAGGAGCTCTACCGGACGACTGAGGTCCTGAAGATGCAGAGCAGGACCTTCAAAGTGTCCCTCTTTGGCCTCGTCCAGCTGGTAATGATATGCTTGTCCCTGAAGATGTTCTTCGCGAGGGTCTCGGCCCCATTTGATGAGGTTGTGCCGACATGATGCTGTCAAGTCTTATTTGGATGCAATCGTATCCACCTTCATCCACATGGATTCAGGTGGATAATAGTATAGCCAAAGAAGCCCGCAGTTAGTTGTTCTCTTCAGTCTGTAACTTGGCTCGCCGGGTTTGCGATGTCTTAACGTGTGTCTTACTTTAGCTGTAGGCCTGTAGCCAGTAGGTAGTATAGTTTCGTAATCGTACACTGAAGTGCAGGTTGTGATGATGTAAGTGGGAAACTACGCGTGTTCTGTAAAAAAATAATGTAGGCCTGTGCATAAATTGGGTTCGATTGACAAGTTGGGTGACTGACGGTTTGCAGCTACTGAAAGGTTTCAGCTTCGGTTTCCTTTTCGCTCCGCTTGTTTCATGAGGGAAACACAATGTCCCCAGCACGAGAGCGCCATGTATACGCGCTGGCGCGCGTAGATCTTCCCCCTGTGGGCTGTGACTGAGGAGCGCGTGCAGAAGTGGCGGCGCGCCGTGCCGTGTTGGCGCGCGTGCAGGCACCGTGACGTGAACTCTTCTCATATGAGAGAGGGAGAGGGCGCCCATCGGGCCCATACATGCGTAGGCTCGCCCAACGGAGGATCTAGCATAGGCCCATGGTAGAAATTTAGAAACACACTCTTGTGTTTTTTTTTTGTCAATTGCTATAGGGCATCAGCTATTTTTCTGATAAATTTACTATAGGACATCATTTAATGTTGCTGATGGACACTATTTAGGCCCCGTTTGGCAGGGCTTCACTTCACTAGTGAAGCCATTTTTTTTTTGTTTCAGCTCCACGAACAGCTCCACCGGTGGAGCTGAAGCGGTTTTGGTAAATCGTTTGGCAAAATGGCTTCCCTGTGAGAGCATGTTTTTAGGGGTCTGGAGGAGGAGCCGGGAGAAGCCACTATTTTTGGCTCCTTCCCACCCCAAAGCTCTGTGAGAGCACGTTTTTAGGGGCTTCATCGGTGGAGCCGTTTCATTTTACCCCGTTTGGCAGAAAACGGCTCCAAACGGCTCCTGAAGCCGCTGGAGAAGCCCTGCCAAACGGGGCATTAATATTGCCTTTAATAGAGAATACTTTTTAATTGTGGCAATTAGCTCTTGGACAGTACAGATATTAAAATAATATTTTTTTAGGAGTGAATGCTAGAGAGAAGTTAAAATGATCATTATGCCCATAGCTATTTATACCACAATCCTTAATAGTTATCTAAAAAAGTCATAACTTTTACGTATAAAATCGGATGAAGAGAAACTTTATATCAAACTTGTAGAGCTTAATAAGATCTATAACTTTGTAGTTGATCATTTTTTTTATCTAAAATCATTTAGCGTTAACCTATAGGTTGAAATTAAAATTTAAAAGTTCCGAGTGACCCCCGATATTGGCATGGTGTATACATGACCTATACATGGTCGGCGCGCGCTCGAAAGTCCCTAATCCCTCATGAGGACCCCACCTAAGCGTGCACAAAGACCATGGAGAGTCAAGCAGAGTAGACCTCATCGTCGTTGTGCTCGACGTCGGTTGAAACCCATCGGAGTTCACCATGGTGCCCTACTATGTCATGGAGAGAAGAAGGAAGGGATAAATAGTGAAGATTATAGTGTTCTAACTGTCAAATGGGGAAATATGAAGCCGACATATGGGCTTCATAGGGGTGGAACTAGAAATTATACATAGAGTTGCCTTCCAAAGAGATTCAACATATGTGAACTGAAACATAGCTCATCTTTTTAGATTCTTGTGTTGTAACCTTAGCAGCAGAAACACATGAACATGGCCACGTTCCTTGTTCTAAAAATGTCGTTCCAGAAACATTCACATTCCCGATTCGGGAACATTCACATTCCCACGTCATAAAATATCACCCCAAGTTCTTGTTCTCTTCTGGGAACATGACTGCTACAAGGGGGAACTTGAGCATCTGGGTTAGTTATCGATACAGCTGCTTCTATTTTCCTAAATTTATTTTAATACGACGATTTAACAATTCTATTCTTGGACCATTTGAGAGGGCTCCAGCTTCAGCTTCTCCGTAGAGAATCACTCCCAACTAGCCAAACACTCAAAATACCAACTAATTCAGGTGGTGATTAGGACAGAATCACTTCTCCATTTACACTAGGAGCCGAGAGCTAAAAAATCTGCTTCACCCTGCTGCATGTTATATTCTAGTATGGATCAGTAAAGAATCAATTCTCATCAAATCTCCATCCTACTCCCTCCTAGGAATCCATTGGAATCACCCCATCAGAGAATCAAAGAGTAGAGCTAAAGAATCAGGAAGCAAAGCTCTCCAAAACGGGGCCTGTCGATGTTTTACCACCGATAGCCTGCCACGGGGGTACCCGGGGCAGTATGTTCGGGCTTCGGCGTATGCTGAACTCGATGGTAAACGCAAGAGACAGTCGATTTATCTTGGTTCAGGCCCTCGATCGTAGATCGAGTAACGACCCTACGTCCAGTCAGCGTTTGCCTTTTGCGTTGGATTGATTATGAAGTGTTATGTTGTACAATTGTCCTCGTTCTTTCAGGAGCCCTGCCCTCCTTTATATAGTCAGGAGGCCAGAGTCCTAGTCGGTTTACAATGAGATTTCCTAGTAGGATTACTTAATAGTTCTATTACTAAGATTACATGGGAAGAATCCTAGTTGAACTAGATCTTCTCTCTCTCTCTTGAGGGGTATCTGTGGGTCCCGTGATCGACAAGCCCCAGAGCACTTCATGGTTGAGCTCTCGAAAGTCTCGCTTTGCTCCTTCAAGTCTTGTTAGGTAGGAACAAAATGTTATCCGAGTGCTTTCTGGAGTGAAATCTTGTAGCGCTTCTTGGGACCTTCGAGTGGTGAGTGTTTTGTGAAGAAAAAAGTACATCCATCTGGTTGTAGCCCCCGAGCCTCTTGCTATTTGGAACAAGGAGCTGGAGGATCTAGTCTTGAAGTTGCTCTGATTGTTCGTCTAAGTTTTGTCAAAAAGAACTCGAATATGGCTCGTTCCGGGTTCTTTTTGTCATAATGTCTTGAAGTAGTCTGTGTTGAGGAAGTCTTTTGGTGACGTGCGCTTTTTCGGAGAAAAAGTGCACTCACTGAGTGTAGCCCCGAGCCTCTTGCTATTTGGAACAAAAAGTTGGAGGGTCTTGATCCTTTATGTTTGTTTGAAAATATGTGCTCTGAAGTAGTCCCTGAGATTTGAATTTTGTCCTCATCCGAGTAGTTTTTGTGGTATCTTTCCGAAGCGGTCCTTTAGTCCTGGATTAAACCATCATCCGAGTAGTTTATGTGGTATCTTTCCGAAGCGGTCCTTTAGTCTTGGATTAAACCATCATCCGAGTAGTTTCGCGGTGTGCAGCCTCCGAGCCTATGTCCGGGTTCTTTTTGGTGGGTGCAATTTTTCATAAAAATTGCACTTACTGAGTGTAGCCCCCGAGCCTCTTGCTTTTGCTTGCAAAAGTTGGATGGTCCAGATTCCTGTCTTCAAAAAATTCTGGGGCTATGTATCCCGTCAGCCTCGTGCTTTCTCCGAGTTCTTTTCTTTTGAAAAAGAAGTCGGTTGAAGAGTCTTGATGCGTTGTCGTCGTTGTAGTCTTGAGTTTCTTATACTTTTTGTCTTTTGTCTTTGGTTCTGAGCCCCCGGGAGTAGTTGAAATGAGGGCCGAATTCCCTAGCTTAGTGTTGATTAATCTGTGATGCTGGCCGAGCCCCCGAGCGTATACCCATGTTGTTTTGTTCAGGAAGAACTCGGATGCGATGTCTTGGCGTATTCTTTGATAGTCTGCTGCTGTCAGATGTAGTTGTATGGTGGTGGTTGAGTGTAAATGCTTTTTGTTCATGGGTTGTACTGTGATGGAATATCCTTCCGAATATGCCCGTCTTGAGCAATCGCTTTTTTCCTCTCTTTGAGCCGTCCATTATTGAGTCTCGTCCTTTCACTTTGTGTTCTTTTGTCGCTTATTTCGTCCGGTACTCCTGGTCCATGTGCGCGCGCTCCTTTGGTCTATAAATCTTGTCCCGGAGTGCTTGTTTTCATCTATTGGATATTCCGTTGAAACCTTCGTGGATATGAGCATGGTAGTTTGTGAAGTAGAGCAGCCCCCGGGCATATTTTGTAGTTCCTGTGTGTCTTGTCGTAGCTGGAGGAAGTCTTGTGATAGGGATTAGAGGTAGGCTAATCCCGCGATAGTATTGTGCCAGGATGTATGTGGTGGTAGTTGGAGGAAGTCTTGTGATGTGGGCTTCGTTCCTTCATCTGGCCGTTCAGGGTTGATCCTCGTCGCCTGTCTTGAGACTGTCCGGCGCAGATCAACACCATATGCGATATCACATCGGTCTTAGGTAGAGCAGATGCCCGCCGCCTTCTCTCGCTCCATGTTGTCCCCCGTCTTTGCCGATTTACGCTTTGAGTGCACTGCGTCCTTCCTTTGAAGAAAAGCAAAGTAGGTGATGGCGGTTTGTCCTTCCGAGTAGCAATTTGGGACACGTAGTCGCTCCGAGCCTAGCCGTGTCCGCGTTCCTCTTTGCTACCTTGCTTTTCGTAGTGCCGAGTTCGTTGGGTCTTGTAAGATTTGTAATCTTCTATTTTTGAAGTCGCTTGTAATGTAACGAATCTTGTCTTCTGCTTGTAATGTAACGAATCTTGTCTTCTGAGTTGTCTTTTACTTTTCTGTTGCGATCCCCGTTGTCCATGAGATTACCGGGTTCTTTCTCAAATAACCGGGTTCTTTTGTTCCTTGTGAGGTAGCCTTTTCTTTCTTCCTTTTTTTTCTTGTTTTGTGAGTTGTTCTTGTAGCGATCGATAACCTCGCCGTGGTCTTTGGACGAGATAAGTCTGAAATCTGCCCGTTGGTTTGTACTGTTGTGTGGATTTGTGCCCTCCATTGTTTTAGCTGCGTCGGTAAATGGACCGTCGCGTTCCCACATTGTGTTTTATCGGGCCTTGTGGGCCGTTTGTATCGCTGAGAAACCTATTTAAAGACCCTTTGCTGCCCAACTCTTGCCTTTAAACCCTAGC